GGACAGAATTAGAAAATTGTCTGAAGACTAAGCCTGCATTGGATAGTTCTCCTCAGACATTGAGGGAAGTACTAGAGACCCATATATGTTTTTGGAAAATTTGTTGTTTGGGAGTTCGTGTACCTGGGAAGAATACTGCATCCCACAGCCATACGAGCAATGTCAGCTGTATACTATTGATACGCTTTAGCTAATGGCCAGGAAATATGCGATAGTCACCATAATTTTAGTACCAGAGCGCAAAATGATTTAATTTAGAAGTTGTCTTGGAAGTTGTTAAGTCAACCACGCAACTACAGGAAATAAAATACTTTTCCGTGATACTGGATTTGCACGCCAGACGTTAGTCGCCAAGAGCAGATGTCTTTAATTGTTCTTATTGTAATAATTCATGAAGCAGGGATAGAGGTAACGGAACATTTCCTGCAATTTGTTTTTATTTGCGGTACCACGGGAAAGCGTCCGAAAGAGTTTGGATATGTTACGATACGAGGGGTCGTGGCTGTAGCAGTGGACTAAATGTAGATTATTGCAAGTAAACAGATCACTGTTATTCTTCTCTTTGCCAAATTCTTTATTATAATATATTATTTATTCTGTAAGAGGAATGTTTTAGTAATGTCCTTCAGTCCCTGAATGTTACACGCATTTGTGAGGCAGTGATTGCACATCCAATGGCACATCGCATTAGACCCTTGAAATGTGCAGGAGTCGGCGATGAAGGGGGGGGGGGGGATATGAAGAGAGGAAGGGAGAGAAGGGCTTTCGTTATTTGGTAGATTAAGGGCCCCACTCATATATTATGTGGGGACTAAAAATTTGGCCGCCGGTCACGGTAGCCGAGCGGTCTAAGGCACGCACTGTCTTCGCTCGCTCGGAAGCCGGGATCATGGGTTCGAATCCCGCTCAGGGCATGGATGTTTGTGTGCGTTTTTCTGTGTTTGTCTACAGGTAGAGGCCTTGCGACGAGCTGATCACTCGCCCAAGGAGTCCTACCGAATGTGTAAGTTCTAGTAAACCGAAGTGACACGGAGAGATTCATGGAGGTAGGCCTAGGCCCAAATTGGGGCTGTAGCGCCACAGAAAAAAAAATTGGCCGGAGGCCCCTGGCTGTAGGCGTATCTAACTCCATTTTATGGAACCCGAAGGTTCATTGCCGTGTTCATAAGAGCCCTCCACTTTTCCCCATTCTGAGCCAGATGAATCCAGTCCATACCACTCCAGCCTGTCTATCTGTGATCAATCGTAATATACCTACGTCAAGGCCTTCCTAGTGGTCTCTTTCTCCTGGCTTTCCCACGACCTATATACATTGCTCTTCTCCTTATGCGTGCTACATGGCTTGATCATTCTAAATATATTTGGCGAAGAGCACAAGTTGTGAAGCTCCTCATTATACCTTCGGTTTATGTTCTTCCCTTAATATCAGAGACCCAGTTTCACACCCATACAAAATTATTGTTTTGTATGTTTTAAGTGACAGTATCTGCATTTTTAATTTGTATTAAATCACAGACAAAGTGAACACGCAAGCATTATCTGAATTCCGTAGGTCACGGAACTTTGAGAAGCGAATGCCTGTAAGTAATAGACATATCGAAGTTATGTCATCTTTTATAGATAAGTTCATCAAATTTTTATGTAGAGAGGAAAATATTTAAACAAAATCTCCTTTTCATTAACTTCTTGGTTAGGAAGTTGCATGGTGCAGTCAGATTACTGGGTCACTGGTTCGATCAGGAGCAGGTTTTTGTGAACGCCAAGACAAAAAGAGCTGTATGACTCCATTTGAAGTCCAGTTGCAAGGACGTCATTGGAACTCGAATCACGGCAGAATCCGCGCCGACTGCCACCAGAAATGGAACCAGTTCTTTGTTTTTCCTTCACGATCCCATTTGACGGGAACATGTCAATTCCTCTTCCGCTGTCTGGGGCTGTATCATAAATGCCGTGGCCGTGTTTTTATTGAACCCTAGATCTATATATATTTGGAACTTGTCAACAATACAGTATGGCTATAACTGTCACTGTGTTAGAAGACAGAAATCGTTGTGATAAAACGCGGATCCAGCGCGGTAGAGTTTTGTATGGCAGGAAGCATCTGCTCCAACTTTACTGCAGACGTTGTAACAGCTTAATTATCACCTCCGCCAGTCTACGCCCACCCTTCTGCTTGGTATTCGGCAGATCTAATGTTCGAATCGCGGTGGGGCACCGACCATCCTGACTGGAGTTTTTTTATAGTTTTCCTCAGTTCCTCCCGGAAACTACTGGGATAGTACCTCGGGTTAGACCATGGCTGCTTCCTTCTACATTCTTTGTAATTTGTCATTCACTAATAAATTTAACATTCGACGCTACATAATCTGAGCTATTGATTGCACCAGTAGTGTCGTTGAATACACCACAGAGAAATAAAAACACATTAATGGCATTCCTGGTCTATTCTTATTTTTTTTTTCCCCCTTTTGGCCCCACTTTGGAGCATAGGGCTGGTTGCTCAGTTTCATAATCATTTTTACAGACGGTACGATTCCTTGGACGAGTGATCAGCTCGTTGCAAGGCCTCTACCTAAACACAGGATAAACGCATGCCTGTACACACACCAAACATCCATGCCTTATGTGGGATTCGAACCCACTATCCCTGCGAGCGAAGACAGTGTATACCTCAGACCGCTCGGCTACCGTGACCGGCTTTTCTTATTATAGGATACAATAACAGGCTAGTGTACGTCAGATGTGTTGGTCGTGGGACTAATTGTTTTATTTGTAGGCCTAATTACTGCTCAATTTGTGTCTGGCTCTACAGCCCTTTCGTTGCAACTTGACCGTTTTTCAGTTTCTTAATCCTATACACAGTCGGTAGGACTCCTTGGTCCGGGGGGAGATCATCCCGTCGCAAGGTCGCTACCTACACACAGAACAGCACAAACACAGAATAAACGCACACAGACATCCATGCCTTAAATGGGATTCGAACTGACGATCCCAGCGTTCGAGCGAGCGAAGACAGTTCATGCCTTAGACCGCGCAGCCACTGTGATCGGCGCTCAATTTCAATGCCGCTAATATTTTTTTGTCGTAGATATTTGTAGTACTGATTCATTTTATTTAACTTCTACTGTATCCTGTTGGTGTAGTGGATTCGTTACATTATTATCCTTGTTCACCGTGGTTAGTGAGGAGCGTCCATATTTTGCATATGTTCTTACGTTAGGGCACGAGTTCTGCGCCACTGTCTCCTCGCTCCTAGGTGTAATTCTCTGACTGGCTGACTTCTCTTCCTGCCGCGGGGTTGTCCTCGTAAGCCGTGCCCATCGCAGCTTTCACTCGTCTTGAAGAGCGACTTGAGAGGTTTTAGCCTCTTACGCAGTTTTTGTTTGCGCCATATTTGAGGCGTTGTTGAACCCTAAACAGTACTTCGCGAGTCATTGACGTGATTCAGCGGTCAATGCCTCATCATAATTAACAAAGAGTGGGCCTAATGGTACAGTGTCTAAAATTCGGTGTGACACTTGATTGGCATTTAACTAATGTATTTTGTACATTATGTAAGATTTGAGGCTTTCACGGCGGTGACCATGAAGAATGCAGTCTTCTAGGATTTGGCACCGTGTATATGTGGTGTTAGCCGACGTTTCATAGGAACGTATCGCCTCCATCTTCAGGGTAGAAGGAAAAATATAGAAATCCGCAAGCGAAGAGACCGTAAAGACCGTAAGAGACCAGTCTGCTTTTACCGGTTCTCACGGTCTCTTCGCTTGCGGATTTCTTATTTATTTTTCCTTCTACCCTGAAGATGGAGGCGATACGTTCCTCCGAAACGTCGGCTAACACCACATATACACGGTGCCAAATCCCAGAAGACTGCTTTCTTTGTACATCATGTTTCAAATTTTGGTAACAAGTGGACTTGGCAACAGGAAGTAAACATTGTTAGGAGAGTGTATTAGGCTATGAAAGGCCCTTACAGGAACAGTCTAAACGAGTCAGGCTTAAGAATATTAGATGAATTTTATCACTTGGCCTAGTGCAGCTACAACTCTCATGCCTTCGGGCCTGATACCATATGCAATCAAGATCTGTTTCAGCAGTGTGGGTGATGCGATTTTTTGTCCCGGGGTATTAGTCACCCTCAGACACTCACTCGTCCATGGAGCTGAGCACGTCTTGAGAGGCTGCCGATTGTGCAGCTACTCAAGAACTTCCCAGCATTTTATGGAAGCAGAATTTTCATTACCATATTCACAAGGTCCTATCCTGAGCCAGATCAATCCAATCCATGCCATTCCATCCAGTGTCCCTAAGATCCATTTTAATGTTGTCCACCCACCTCCGTCTTGGTGTTCCCAGTGGTCACTTTCCTTCTGGCTTTCCAACTAATATCCTCTACGCATTCCTCTTCTCACCCAGTGTTCAAAATGGAGTTAGAGAGTGACCTTACTGGGAGCCATCCTGAACACACTCATATGCACGCGAAATACCAACTGAGTACAAATAATGTTTTTCGGACATTATCCATCGTCTTGTCTTTATGTAAAAACACTGTCCTGTTTATTTTTTCAAAACACAACCTTTCGGATATGGGGACTGACTCTATCGATTGGGCGCAACTGAGTAGGTTTTACCCGAAGACGGAGACAGAATCCAGTCTCCGAAACGTGTTTTGAAAAATAAAGATGACTTTGTTGTTAGATAAAGACAGGACGATGGATAATGTCCAGAAACATAATATTTGTACTAATGTACCATCGTTACAAACTTTTAGATCTTATTTACCATATAAGTATTAATCTTATGAAGAACCGATGTCAAATGTATCCACTTGTTCCCATTTTCATCTCCAAAATTGCTCTAATGATTTCGATTAAATTCGGCATAGATGAACGCATCAAATCTGTCATGTAAATTTACTTAGTCGAAGATTTACTCTGGACTTCAGCGTTTTGATTCCATTTGCGGAAGTGCAGTACACTGTGCTGTGTTTGGTTTCGCAGCTGCCGTACCACATTGCTGTGGACGTGTCCAACAGGGAGGCGCTAGACACACCTCGCCTCAACGTGTCTGCGGAAGGCAACGTTCCTACCACACCTCAGACGTTTCGCGTCGCACTACCATGCAGTGGCGTGAAGGATGCCGAAGTAAACGTGACACTGAGCATCAACATCACGCTGCACCGTGCGTCCAACAATGTTACGTCGTTAGTTTTCAAGCGTCGCAAGATCTGCCTCAAAGGTCAGTAACTTTACCTGTTAGCCTGAACATAAGGCGAGTTTTTTTTTAATACTGCTTCTTAGAAAATAGGGATCCCCCTATTTTCAGGTCCTTAAGAACAAGCAAGAGTATGAAGAAGATGATTGTGAGCAGTTCTAATTGTTGATTGTAATATTTATAAAAATACCTAGAATTTCATTTAAGGAATTAAATTTTGAAGTTATTATTTACTCGTATTGATAATGTAGTGTTTAATTATTTTTGCTTACAACCCTCCCGACTAAGTGACATTCAGTTTTGTCAAATTTTCTTCTTCTGATTATCTTGTTGGAAATATAGGGGTTGACTTTTTTACCCTTTGGCGCTACAACCCCCAATTTGGACCTTGGCTTGCCTCCATGAGGCGAGTGAAGACAGTTCGTACCTTAAGGCGCGTCCACATTACTCATGTTCGTGCTCGAGCTCGCCAAGCTTGTGCTCGTCTGGCTTTTACTTGTGCTCGCAAATCTTCGTCCACACTACTTCAGTTGCTCGCCAGGCTTCGGAGCGTGAGGATTCGTAGTGTGTATAGGTTGTAGTCGTATTTTAAATTATTGGCTATAGTTTTTAAATTAAATTTTTAAAATTTCCTTGTCTCATGACTTGTCATGTTGTCCACATTACTCGCGAGCATAGCGAGTCACACGAGCACGAGTAATGTTGACGCGCCTATAGACGCCTTAGACCGCTCGGTTGTCGTGACCGGCAGAGATCGCCTTACGTTCGAGTTTATATCTCTTCATACAAAAGCCATAAATATTTGCAACCTTTTCTGTTTCTACGTAGCAAAGTGTAGCAGATGTATAAGATGTTTAAGTTCTCAAGGTGATGACTAGGCGTAAGAAGATTAAGTTGCAATTTTATAGGATGTAACGCTGTGTAATCTGGTGCTGACTTTTCGAAGGAACTGCTCTCTGCTTTTGTTTTCTTACTTGGCTTATTCGTCGGCCCTGAAGATGTGGGCAGCACGTTCTTCCTAAACATCGACAGACACGGCGTCATATCCCGCAAAATATAACTCTTTCGGCGTCAAATACAGTACTATACAGTAGTAGTATCCAGCATGCCGACAAGTGTGAAGGGGAATGCAGTACAGGCGTTCTCAAAAGGAAATAACTTCTTACCTCATTGTGTTGCATAGTGTTGGCGGCTTAGTCTCGATAATGTTCACACATCCCATGTTAAGTTTTAAGTGCCGAATGGCAGACTATTATGCACTATACACTATTATACATGAAGAGTTTACTTACATATTACACAGGTCTATTCTAAAGGGGCAACACCGGCAATGTCCGCATAGATATCATCTCCACATGCCTGTCCTTCCTCGTCACCACCAGATGAATCGGAGCTATCATCAGAACTGTCATCACTATAACCGCCAACATGGAAGACAAATTCCTGTCCTGCGTCCAAAAGGCCTTCCCGTGCCATTAATTGTTGCTCAGTGTTCCGTACAAGTTGGCACCTACGTTGCCATTCTTCTGCAGTTATGGAAGCCAATTTTTGGTCTGCCAGTTTAATGTCGTCATCCATCTTAAATGTGGTATTGTTTTGAGCAACCCAGTTTTTGTACGGTGACTCATATTAACTCAATTGGATTGAGTTCTGGGTGATATGGAGGAGTCATAAAATATTGTGATTGTGTTCTGCAAAGATTCCATCTGTTTTATAGGAAAGGTATTTCGGTTTGAGTGGTAGGATCATATTATGTATGTCTGGACTCCACAATGATGAAAAATCACTGTTATTGAAGGTAATAGGTGGAAGGTGATATTTTAGCCAGAATATCATAAAATCTCTTCTTGAATTTTGAGGTAGGGGCTCTGTTTACTTGTACATTATGGTAGGGAACATTATCAACGAGAAGGACAAATTTGGGGCAAGGTTAGGAATAAGTCGCTCCTTTAACCATTTTTCATAATTGGTGTAGTTCGTGTCACTGTGGTTTTTTCGTGGGATTTGAAGGAGACATAAGCATTAGGGACGAAGCCTTGCTCTCCCCCTGCATGGATAACAATGAGCCGTTAGCCTTTGGACACAGGGAAAATAATCCCGGGATGGATCCATCACTCCATGCATATGGTGTGGCGTGCGGTGAATGAATATAGGTTTCATCCATGTAGATGACTGGGAGGCCCTCTTCCCTATATTCTCTAATTTGCCGCAAATACTGAAGACATTTGGCTCTGATATTATATCGTTCCAACAGTAGCTGTCGATTATTTTTTGTTTTCTTCCAACGGAACCCCAGTTTCAAAATAATTTTGTTTAATGTGGAGATGAATCCATGAAAATCTAACCTTTTCTTCAACTTTACGTGAACTTTTTTCAGGGTAGGTCTCCGTTTTTCCACTATGTAGAAGTCATTAATTCTTCGCACCACAGACTCGTTAAAGTCGTCCAAAGTGGCTAGTGGAGATTTCCTAAGTCTTTCTTTATGGGGTGTCGAAAAGGAAGTGGAAGTCCAAGATTCGATATTTTTTGTTTCTCTTATTATTCTTCTCACACTACTTTCCAATACACCTGTTGCCTTTGCTGCTTCCACTCCTATGTTCTTCACTGTAATTTTTGGCCCAGCCTCTTTCATATACTTGTATACATTACTAATAATTTCTCTTGATTGTGAATGCAACACTTTTCCACTAAATTTACTTCGTGTAGGTGGCATGTTAAAGGATATAGAAAAAAAGAACAAATATAAATAAAAAAGAAAATCAACGAATAAAAATAAATTATTAATACAGTAAATAGAGAATAATACATTCAAATACGACTCCAAGAGTCAAAACGTTTTAACTTGACTGTACAAGGAAGAATGCTTTTAACTGAACTTGAGACGTCTGCTCGCACTGAAAACAAATGAATGACTAATCACAACACCCCTCAACTTTCACGAATGGAGCAGCCTATCCACTGCGCAGCTTTTCCTGGACTGTCACTTCTAAATACCAGAACTATACTACCGCAGATGCTCGTACAAGAGGCCTACACCTCAGTTATAGGAAACCGACTGGATAGTACAGATGCAGTAAACAGTTGTTGATACTGAAAAGTTTTCACTCGTTAGTAAACTAATCATTCCTGGTCAAATACATAAATAAATAAATAAATAAATAATTTTTGCCATTGCTAGAATTTTCGCTACCGTCGTACCCGATGCGAATACAGTGCAACTATAGTGTATAGTCGGTTTTCATGGAGACGCAACATCGTAATGAAAGGTGTCTGTGACGAAGGGTACTATAATGTAGAGGGAAAATTCACCAATATGCAGTTGGCCTAGTAATGTTGCATTGAATGATGCACTGTTGTTCGTATGGCCGCCATTTGACAACTCTCGGAGGGCCTTGAAAGACGAGGGTTTAGGGTGCCACCAAATATCGTACTGATTATACCAACTCAACGTCATACGCTAAACCATAGCAGGCATGAAATTCATTTACATGCTTAACATTTTAACCCATTTTCCCTTGTGTAAGCAGAGGCAAAAACTCTGTCCGAAGCCTTCTGTGACTTTTTGTAACTTATTATTTTGTTCTGGGAGCCAGGATAGCGCCGTCGGTTTAGCGAATGGCTACAGGCTGGACGACAGAGGGGTCGGAGTTAAGAGTCCCGGTAGGGGGCAGATTTTTCCATTCTCCATGTCGTCCAGACCGGTACTGCCCCACCCAGCCTCCTATTCAGTGGGTGCCGTGTGTAAAGCGGCCGGGGCGTGAAACTGACCGCTCACCTCCAACTAATGCCGAGGTCAATATTACGTTGATCTATACATCCACGCCCCATTACACCTTCATGGTGTAGTGCTTAATTGGTTATGCACAAGGACAGCTTTATTTATATTAGTTTTGTTTGGAGAGGTTATTAACCCTATGCCCAACTCCGAACCAGGAGGGCCAACCGTTATGGGATACCCACGACAGCTCATTCACGGTCACGTGATATATGTGCAGAAACACTGTCTCCAATGCAGCTGTCCGTGTGGCTCTTGACTTAACCACTCCTATTTGATGTCCCTTCACTACTAGACGATCATCAGGTGCATGTAAACTGTTACACTTGGCTACGGACAGAACTAATTATTTTTATTGTGCTCACATTTTAAAGAAATAGAAAGTTGACAAGTTTAAAGTTAAATTAGATCTAAAAGTCTGTGACGATGGTACATATACGAATGTACTGTCTGAGGGCATTATCCATCGCCCTGTTTTGTCCGGCGATAGGGACTAGCTGTATCGATTGTGCTGAGTAGGTTTTAGCTGAAGACGGAGACAGAATCCAGTCTCCGAAACGTTGTGTTTTAATAAAAACTGGGCGGTGCTTTAAATATGAACAGGACGATGGATAATGCCCAGAAACATAATATTTACCAAAATGAAGTTATGTTGTGCGACACCTCTCTAAATATTTCGAATTTGTTTATTAATGGTGTGTGTCTGGATACGCCTTGGTACTTGTAATATGTTTTTATTTTATGTATGACCTTTGTTATTTATATCTGTACATATAGCAAGTGATAAAATACTATAGCAGGATGCTAAAATACAACATTGTTCGTCATATTCGTAGGCATCCTGTGTGAAGGTAGTTACCTCCAACTGCGGTTTCAGGACGCCATGGCATATTGACCCGGGAGCGTACGTAATATGGAAGGAAACTAACTTCAAAAAGTGAAGAAGGCCGTCTTCTGGGGTGTGGCACCGTGTAAATATTGTGTTAACCGACGTTTCGGAGTAACGTATAGTCTCCATCTTCAGGGTAAAAGAAAAAAGAAGAAAATCCACGAGCGAGGAACCAGCGTGGGCATGTGCTGACAGACTAATGTCGAGTCGAATAAATCCAGCTGTATAAGAGCAGGAAGGGAAGGGAGAGGGACTACATGGGAAATCAGTAGAGAGGAGGGATTTTCTTCCTTTTCTTCTACCTTGAAGAGGGAGGCGATACGTTCCTCCGAAACGTCGGTTAACATAATATCTACACGG